ACTTTACTATTTTTTAAATAGTTGAATTTTTTTATATTTAGTACGATATTGTATGTTATCAATTTATATTTTAAAAAAAGAAGATATAAAATGTGGTTAAAGAAAAAAATTAAGCAAAAATTATCTTATTGCACTGTTTTAAATACTACAGTTCTGAATAATTTATATTTTTTTATTAAAACATGCATTTTTAAAATGGAATGGGATATTCACATATCTATTTATCTATCTACCTATTATTCCTTTTTTTTTTTTTTTTAATTCATGCTATAAAGCATAATATATCTTTTTGATTATATTTTTTGAAAATATTAATGAAAAACGGTATTTCGTTCGTAAAAATAATACAATTATAAATTTTATAATTTTACAATTTTTTGAATTATTCTAAGGATTTTACATTTTTTTTATTACATGAAAGAAAGAAAAAGTTTATTTCTAAGTTTATTTGTAAAAAACTTATATTATTTTTCTAATTGAAGAATAATAATATTATTTATCAAATAATTTAAAAATAAATATATTTTTTTAAATTTAAATTTAATATCAAAAAATCAAATAATAAAAATTTATACTGAATATAATTTATAATAATTCAGTATATATTTTTATTGAAATCCTAAAAAGAAAAAAGTAAAATATTTTTTTCAAAAAATTATATATAATTAGTTTTATGTAGATAATTCATATAATACTTTTCTTGGTTTTCTTTTTATTCTTTTTATTTTTTCCATGAGAGTATTTCTTACAAATTAAATATGATAATTGCTATTTCTTTATATACACAATTAAACTTGATATATTTTCTAATGTAGGTAGGTAAATCTACTATTTCAGTTATATATAAAAAGAGTAATAATGTAAGCATAACAAAATATGTGGGTGAACAACATACATATTAGGATCATAAAAAAAATAACATGAATATTTCTGTTATTACACATGCTAATACTAATTAAACATTTATCACTGCTATTATAATTTTCTTTTTTAGTAAAAAATATTAGTTATAAAATTGTTATTCTCAATAATTTAAATAGGTTCATATGTTTTGTAATAAAAGCATTTAATTTAAAATAAAAAAAAAAAAAAGTGTATATATTTAGATATGTTTTTGTATTATTTTTTTGCTATATTATGAAAATATATTGAACATATTTATCGTTAAATTTAAGAAAATATATTCATTAAACATCTCGATTTCATTGTGTTAAAATATTAATGTGAATACTTTCATTAAATTAAATAATTTATGCTATTTTTATATTTAAATTATTAAAATTTAAGTTCATTCCTATTTTATTGTATTTCATGTAAAAATTCGAGTTTATGTTTTTTTTTTTTTTTTTTTTATCCTTAATAATGGACTCTTTAAATTATTAAATTAAATGATATATACATTTATAATTTTATTTTCATGTTAATGTAATAAATAAAATTAATTTATATTACATTTCATTTTTTGATATCTTTCGATTTTTTTTTTTTATTCCTAGAAATAAAATTTAGAGCTTTCGATCTAGCATTTTAAAAATAATAATGTATTAACTTATTTTTGTATGTATTGAATTTAATAAAACATCAGAGAAAAATTTACCATTTATTAAAAAATAAATTATTAAATATATTTCATAAATTTGAAAAGAAGCATATTGAGTTTATAAAGATAACACAATCCTTTTTTTTTTTTTTTTAAAGAAGTTCGATGCATAATTATGTATATGTGGCTTTTTGTGCATGTTGTTTTTTTAATTTTTTTTTTTTTTTAATTTTTTATTTTATTTTATCATTTATTACAAATTGAGAAAAAAAAAATTTTCTTTTTGTTTAAATTTAATTAATTGGTAAAATTTAAGATAATGAAATAAGGATTTTTTAGTAATTGTTAATTTAATTGGATAATTTATATACTTTTTAAGTATATCAGTACTTACTACATTCTAAGTATATAATGATTTTTATTTCGTTATAAATGGTATTTAGTTAAATGACAGTTTTATGTAGAAATATGAATACGAAAGTATAACTTATGAATTTATTTCTGTAAAATAGGAATATTTAATGTATAATATACACTTTTATATAGTTTAAGAAAAATTATTATAATGTAAATAAAAAAAAAAAATTAAAGTTATGTTTTTATTTTCTTTTTTTTGAGGATTATTTGGGATATAACAAATACTACAAATATAAGTCTTTGAAATTAAATAAATATATACGTTTTCTTTTATTTATTTTTAAGCAAATACAACTACTCATTTTCTTTATGAATAAGAAACAAATGTATAAGTGTATGTTAATAAATTATTAATTAGTTAGAAAAAATAGTATAATTCTTAATTTTAAATAGAATAAAAAAAAAAAAAAAAATGTACATGCATATATAATTTATGAACAAGAATATTTCCTATATATAATAGTATATATTTTTATTAATGAGTTAAAAATACTTCTATTTAATCAAAAGCTTATGATAAATATTTTTTAGCGCACATGCAAAAAATAAAAAAAAAAAAAAAAAAAAAATGATAAAAAAAAACTATCGAGATATTAAAAAAAAAGCAAAATATAAAAACAGTATGAACATGTACATATATTAAATTTCATTATCTTTTATATACTAAGTTAAAAAAAGGGACTATATTTCATGCATATATTTATTTACATTTTTAAGTTGGATATAAAAAAATACTGTAAATGTTTTGCTTTGTATTTTACAACTTTCTTTTAGCTGTATTCCTTGGAAATGAAAAATAAAATTGTACAATTAAAATAAAGATTTGATAATTAAAAATTTATTTTTATTTTTCTGAACACACTTTAAATAAATATAAGGTATTTTATTTTATTAATAAGTAAAACAGTTTTTTCCTGAATATTTTAAATTTTGCTGTTAATTACGAAAAATAGTATAATAAATGAATAAATACAACTTTTCAAAAAAAAAGATTATGAAAAAATTTAATTAAAAAAAAAAGAAAGGAAAAAGTAATTTTAAATTTATGATTAATTATAATAGTGGTATATTTTTTTAAATGCATTAACATTTTTATTACATAAATGTTACACAAACATAACAAATATTATTAACATGATTTTAATTTAAGAAACGATGGAAACAGAAAACAACTTGCAAAAAGAAAACGACATAAGTGAGATTAATAATAGGAACGATAACAACAATAATGATAATAATAATGCTGAAATGAACAGTAAATCATTTGTTTTAAATGAAATGAAAACCAATGAAAAAGTTAATAGTTTTAATGACATAAATAAAAAAAAGAACAAAGAAAAATTAGTTAAAAATATTAATACTAGATACAACTTCCAATCATATATATACTCAAAAAAGAGTTATAACCAACATTTTATGCCTATGAATAATATTTATTGTAGAAAAAAAAAAACAAAATATTTTCAAAGTGTAAAGAATGAAAATGTAAATAAAAACAAAAGTGTATCAAATGAGAAAGAAGAAAAGAAAAATGTTAACACATCATTAAAAATAAATGAAAATAAAGAAGTATCTACGAAACAAACCAATAATGATGATGCAAATATAATTGAAAATAATAGCTTTATTGAGGTTAAAATGAAAAAGAAAAAGAATAAAAAAAAAAAAAAGAAAAAGAAAAATGAAGTTAATGATAATTCAGGAAAAATAGATAAAGATACAAAAATAGATAATTGTGATGAAAATAATATAAAAAATAATAATAGTATTAATGATAAAAATGTGAATGATGAAAGTGTGAATGATAAAAATATTAATAATAATAGCAAAGATAATATTAACGGTAATGCTACTACTGCTACAACAATCACTACAACAACTACTACTATTAATGATAACAGTAAAAATAAAAATTTTAACGATTTAATACATAAAGAAAAAAAAGGAAAAGAAAGAGAAAATGAATCAAACAAACAATTTAACAATTTTAAAGAAAAAAAAAATAGAAAAAAGGAATTAAGTACTTTTAAAAATAAAAATGAATATCATAATAAGATAATAAATACTAATTATATAGCAAATAATATGCTAAGTAGTAGTTTGAGCAAAGAACTTCAAAATTTTAATAATATGGTTGATAAAAATAACATGAATTATTTATATATTAACAATTTAAATAGTAAAGTTAATGCAAATTCAAATAATCGTTTGTATGCTGATTATTATATGAATTTTGTAAATAATCAATTAAGAAAAAACTTCATACAAACTCAAAAGGGTGCAAATGCAAAATATAATTACGATATTAATAGCTATGCGTATTTAAATTCTATATATAACCCACTAAATTTTTATAATTTAAACAAATATTACGAACTGCCATATATAGATAATATTAATAATAGTGTAAGTAATATTTACTATTCAAATGATATGCAAAAAAACACTTTATTAGAAAATATGTTAAAATTACAAGGAATGTATAATTTGAACAACATATACAGTAATAATAATAATGATAATATATATAATAATTATTGTAATTTAGATAAATATAAATCACGTGGATGTGAAAATAAAATAAAAAATAAAGTTTATGAATTTAATAAAAAACAAGAGGTACCTAATAATAGTATTAATAAGACATGTAAAGTAAGTACAAATTTCGAATATGAAAAAAAGAATAAAATAGTTAATAATACAAGTAAAAAAAAAACTGTACATAAGGTAAATAAAAAATTTGAACAATTAGATAATAATATTGAATCTAAATTGAATAAATCCACTTCAAAAAAATATGCCATTAATTTAAATAAAAAAAAAAAAAATTATAAAAATGATATGGATAGAATAAGTATGAATTATTTTATGACTCAAGAAAATAGTAAACAAATAAAAAATTACAAAAATTATAGAAGTATTTCTAAAAATGAGAATAATTTAGGTTATAATTATGCAAGCGAAAAAAATGATTTCATTAAAAAAAAAAGTAAAGAGTTTGATCAAACAAGTAAAGTTAATAAATGTATTAATTTAGTACCTTATGAAATATATCAAGGCAAAAAAAAAAATTTAGCAAATCACCTACAAAATAAAAAAGATAAATATGGTAAAACTAAAAACAACAATATATTAGATAAATGTAATGAACAGATTGTTACAGATATAACAAATGAGAAAGATAAAATAAAAGATTTCGAAATTAATCATGAAATACATAAGTTTATAGATTATTGTGTAAAAAATTATGGTAATAAAAATTTAATGAATATTCTGGGTGAATTTTCTTCTAATAATATAAATGAAAATTTTGATGAACTCAAAAATATTTTTAAAATAAAAATAGATGAAGAAAATTTAAATACGTTAACAACATTAGAAAAAGATGAAAATAATAATTTTCCATTTATAAATGATAAAAATATGAATGAAACAATAGAAAAAAATATTGGAGAAATATTTGAAGATGCTAATAAAGATATAATTGAAGAATATGATAAATTCAAAAAATTATTGAATGAAAACATAGATGAAAGTGGAAATAAAAAAAAACAAGATAGTGAACAAGAAAAAAATAAAGAAAATATAAATGAAGAAAATGAAAAAAACGAGGAAATAAATAATATTGAAAATAAAAAAGATGAAAATAATTTGTTTGAGGAAAATAATAAAATTAACATAACAATACCTCCAGGTTTAAGTCTACCAGATATAAACAGAGCTTTACTACATGGTGCATATTTAGATAATATAACTGTTGTGAAAAAATGCCTTGAAAAAAAAGCTGATATTAATTATTTAGACAAAATTGGTAGAAGTGCCTTACATTATGCATGTGCAGGTGGATATTTTGATATATGTGAATTGCTAATCAAAAATGGTGCAAAGGTTAATGTATCTGATTATAAACATTGGACACCTTTACATATTGCAATAACAAAAATGCATAAAGATATAACAGAGTTATTATTAAAGAATAATGCCAATATATATGCATTATTGCCACATTCTTTATCCCCAAATAGAGGAAAAATTACAGCAAGTATGTGCCTACATTTTGCAGCTATTAAAGGAAACAAAGATATAACAAAATTATTACTTCAATATGGAGCACAAATTAATGACATTGATTTATCTAATAGAACTGCTCTTCATTATGCTGCATATAGAAATAATTCGGATTATCTTAAATTCCTAATTTATGAAGAAAAAGCAAATGTTAATATATTTGATGTGCATAATAGATTACCTATACACTCAGCTTGTTTAGGTGGAGTATTAGAAAATGTAAAAATTTTAGTAGAAAATAAAAGTTTCGTTCAGAAAAAAGATATTTATAATATGAGTCCATTAGATATTGCACATATTAAAAAATTTAAACACATTAAGCAATTTTTAACTAAATATATGAATGAACATTTTTGTCCTCTTGATTCAGAAAACTTAAATCATGAAAACCTTGAAAAAACTAAGGGAGAAGTTAATGATAAATATGAGAATGAAAATATTGATGGAGATAAAAAAGGAAATATTGATCATTACATAAATGGTAATGTTGAAAATCACAAAAATGAAACCTCTGAAAAATGTGAAAATGAAATTGTTAGTGAACATAAAATCGAAAATAATGAAAAAAATAGAAGTGAAGATAATGATAAACACGATGAAAAAAATAATAATTCCAGATGCTATAATAAGGAAGTAAATTATGTACAATATGAAAATAATGAATTAGGAGAAAATGATGATAATAAAATGGATCCAAAAGAATTCTATAATGACAACAAGATGATTAAAGATATTTTGACAACGACTATTAGTACTGTTTTGAATGAACGAAATAAAAATCAAATTAAAAGAGTAGTTGATGCATTAGGAGTATATATTTCATTAAGTTTATTGGAAAAAACTATATTGATTCAGAATTATGGTGGTATAGATTTGGTAAATAAAAAAGGTAAAAGAAGTACAGGAGGAGTTTTTTTCTATTTAATAAAATATATGTATAAAAATGACATTATATCAAAATTCAAATATGATTATATTGTTGAAGAAGAAAAAGAAAAAAAAAAAACTTACAGAAAATTAAAAAAGAAATTATTGCAAGACGAAGAAAATTTAAAGAATACTATAAAGGGTGGTAAGATAGCTTTAAAAAATAAAAACATTTGTGAAAATAATAATTTTAAAATAAAAGAAAATGACAATTGTAATAGCAAATCAAATTATGAAAAAAAAGAGTATAATACTAATGAAAAATTATGTGTCCTAAAAGAGGAAGAAAATAATAGGAGCATCAATTTTAAGAAAATTAAAAAATACAATTTTAAAAATGACTTCAATAATCCTCTCAGCAAGGATAATACCTACAAGAATAAATCAGAAGTATCAAAAAACAATAATAATAACAATAATAATAATAATAATAATAAAGTATTAAAATATGGGAATCCTTTGAATAATGTCAACCATAATTATACCTTAAATAATTATAAAATGAATTATACTGATTATGAAAATCTTTATTGTAATAAAATAAATAATTTCAATGATCCTTGTCCGAAAAATTTAAATAATAATTTAAAAATTTATAATAATAAAAATAATCCTATTCAGAATGATCAATCTGTAAATATGATAAAAGAAAAGAGCAAGAAAAAAAAAAAAAAAAAGAAAAAAAATACACACATTTATATTGATAACAAAATAAATAATACAAATTGTACTGGAAAAAATAGTACTGAATCTCCATTTTTAAACTTACTGGAAAATTCTTACAACAATTTTAATTTATATAATATACAAAATCAAAAAAAACATTTATATCATTTGAATAATATATCAAATCAAAATGAAAAATTTAAATTTGATAATAATAATGTTAATAATTTCAATAAAGAAGTTATTAACTACCAGAATAATTTAATTCCGTATATGAATAATTTACAAAGTAATATATATGATTATATAGGAAATGCAAAAAATAATTATACTAACTATTTAAATAACCAAAATATGTATTTAATAAATAATTTATGCAAATTTTATGGAAATAATTCTCAAAAAATTCATTTAAATAATGTAGATTATATGTATTACAATAATTATACTAAGATTTAAATTATAATAAACTTTAAAATACAACGTATAAGTAAATATATGTGCTTAGAATAAATTAAACAAATATAAAATACACTTAAATTTTTTTTTTTTTTTTTTTTTTTTTTTTAATGAAAATAAAAAATATAGCTTTATTGTATTCTTAATAATCTCTTTATTAAATATATTTTAGTGTTATATTCTTAATAATTAAAGTGTGCATGCAAATGAATAGTGTAGAGAAATTGCAAGCATAAAATAGAATTTTTTTAATACAATCATATATTTTATAAAAACCCTATACTATTTATATTTATTTATTAGTTGAATTTTTGGAACAATAAATAAAAATAAAAAATATATATATATATATATGTATAATTAAAAATAAGTATATGTTCCTTTTTTATGTATATTTGTTTTTCTTTAATTTTATATTCAACTTTTTATCTCCCAGTAAATTGTATGAACAGTACATACAAGGAAATTTTTTTTTTTTTTTTTTTCCGTATGAATTTTGTTGTAATATATGAAATAAATGAAAAACAATACTTTTAAACTGAAAAGAAAAAAAGGGATTTTTTTTTTTTAGTATATCAATAATATATAATATAAAAAACAGTGAAAATTAAAATTAAATACTTACGAATAATTTCCTAATAATACCTAAAATAAATTATTACACAAAAAAAAAAAAAAAAAAAATTTAAACAGTGCAGTTGCATATTTTTCTTTTCATATATATATGTTACAAAAAAAAGAATGATAAAATCCAAATAATTGTTTGTATTTTCTTGGTTAACAGTCCTAAATAATAAGCTAGACAAAATATTTTATTAATATATTATAAAAAGGTCTAATATAAAATTTATTTATTGATGTGATAATTTCTTATTCTTTTTAAATTATAATAATCTGTTAAAATTAATGGCTATTTGTATATTCAAAATGTCGTAGTGTTGCAAATAATTGTAAAAAATGAAAACAGGAAAAATGATAAAAAAAAAAAAAAAAAAAAAAAAGGAATAAAAAAAAAAGTTAATAAAATAAAATTTTTTATTTAATGATTTTTTCTTTTTCTGGTTGAAAAAAAATGTTGCAATACTTACGCACTGAAAAAAAAAATTATGCACGTAATTTAAAAAAAAAAAAAAAAAAAATAATTTTAATATATTTTAATTTAAAATATATTAAAACACTTTAATATAAAAATGCTTGATTGTTATTCTTTTTTATTTTATAAAAAAATAAAATTTTTTTTTTGTTTTTTTTTTCTTTAAAACTAGTTAATACAAAAATTATTTTATATAATTAAAATATTAAAAAAAAAAAAAAAAAAAAGTAAAAGAATAAAAAGATCAAGGGAAAAGTTTTCTGTTTATATTTTATTTTACATTATTGTTTTTTTTACCTTTTTTTTTTTTTTTTTTTTTTTATTATTTTTTCTAATAATATACATTTATATAATGATTCTTTTAAATGAATTTTAAATTATAAATTATGATGCAAAGTAAGTGTGGAAATGAAGATGACTCGTACTGCTATATAAATAGATATGATTTAAATGAATTAATAGAAAATACTGAAGAAAATGAGAAATCTACTGAGAGTAATGGAAATAATAGTATTTGTGAATATGAAATACCATTTCTTTTGCAAGACCTTGAAAGTAACAAAGAAGACTCTGAAAAAAATTCCCTAAAAAGTTATCTTGATGATGGTGCATCAACCATTATTACAAAATGTGATGAAGAAAATAATATAAAAAAAAAAAAAGAAAATATTAGGGAAAAAATAAATATTATAATTATTAAAAATAAAGGAGTAATAAATAATTTTGAAGAAATTTTATCTATGGCAAATGTGAATGATGAAAATATTGAAAAAAAGTTAAATGACAGATTTTATCAAATATGTTGTAAAAGTATTGCTGATATAAATACTCATAATTTAAATAAAGCAAAGGATAAAAAAGGTAAAAAAGGTTCATTAAGCATTGAGCATATAGATTATGGAGATATTTTTCTAACTATATATGATTCATTAAGAAACAAGAAAAAAGATAATAACATTTTGCATAATTCTTATGAAAATTTAAGAAAATATGAAAATTCATTTAAAAAAAAAAAAATGAAAAATCAATACATCAATGATTTCAAGAGAAGTCATTACTTAAAATTTCATAGAAAAAAAGAAAATTTCTATGGTAATAATTTAAATAATATTATAATTGATAAAAACTCTAATAATTCACGTAAAAGAACAATTTCCTATTATCAAAAAAATAATGCAAAAAAGAATATTATATCAAAATACAATTCTCATGTTATTGGTTATGATGAACTTACGTTAAAAGATAGAACCTTTTTAAAAAATTTCTATATAAAAAAAAATAGAAAAAAAGATGAAAATATGTATTATTATGACGATTATTATAAAGGAACAAAATTATCAAATAAAACTAATTTGCAGAACATAGAAAATGATAATTTATGCAGTCCAATTTATAGAAATACTTACACTCCAAGGAAAATAAATAATACAAATTATTTTGAGAATGAAAAGAATGAAAATATAAATAATTGTTATTATTCTAGAAATGATGATAGATGCTTTTTAGAATCATTAGAAAAAAATGCACACATAGATATAAAAGGACTAGAAAATGTAATATCTTATAGAGAGGAAAAAATAGAAGAAAATGAAGAGCAGAACAAAAATACTGATTTAGCATATAACAGTGGTAATGATAATAATGAGTTAATACAAAAAAATTCCACTAGTGATAAAAAACATGATAACAATTTGGATCACATTTGTGATAATAAAGAAGTTAAAAACAACCCTATTGATTTTAATCAGTTAGATATTTTTTATAATAAAAAGATGGAAGATAGCGAGAAATTTTATATAGAAAATGATTTGAATTCTGAGAAAAAAAGAAAAAAAAATGAACACGATGATTGTAATAAAGTTAAAAATAACAGTATAAATGATGAAGATACGTTATATGATAATTACTGTAAAAATGTAGATAATGTATTAAATAAATTAGAAAATATAGATAATCATAATGACAATTACTGTATCGAAAATAAAACTTATGTAAAAGAGGATGATGAGGATTATTTTTCTAAAAAAGAGAACAAGCATAATTATGAAGAAAAGAAGATAGAAATAAATAACATTTTAAATAAATCATCCTCCAGTAAGATTTGTGATTATAATGAATCAATAAATAGTTTAAGTAGTTTAAAAAAAATTAGTGAAAAGGATGAAAGTTATCTATCTAGTAAAGAGGATAAAGATTATTTTAATTTTTTGGCAAAAAAATATGAGAAAACAAAAATAATGATGGATGAATATGAAAATATTCCTTCTAGTACTAATAATGTACAAAAAGAAGAATTCTTGAAAACTTCCTATGAAATTTTAAATGATACGGAAAAAAAAAAAGAAATTGTACAGGAAAAAGAAAGAAGAAATGATGAAGAAAATGATGAAGAAAAAGATGAAAAAAAAGATGAAAAAAATGTGATAAAAATTTTTAGAAGAAGTAGCTATGAAAAATATAAAAAAAAATATAATGAAAATGAAGTACAAAATTACTTAGTAGGTTTTAAAACCAAAGATAATGAGAGATATGAAAAAGAAATTGATAAAATAAGAAAAGAAAATGATATAGAGGATCTAAAAGAAACGAATGAAACAGAAGAACATAAAATAGAAAATAAAAAAAAAGTGGTTAAAAACTATGAAATGGGAGGATATGAAAAATTATTAGAAAATAATATGTATGATTTATATAATTTAAAAATGCATGATTTACAAAATTTAAAGACCTATGATTTTGGTTTTTCTAAAAATTTATTGAAAAAAGATATTTTTCTTTATAGTGAAAGTATAAATAATGATGAATGTCTTAATAACATAGAAAATGATGAAAAAGGAAATTATTCAAAAGAAAAGCTGAGAGACTTAGATGATAACGATGAAGAAAAGAATATTCTAAATTATGACGAAAGTAATAAGTGTTTAAACTTAGTAAATTATAAAAAAGAAGAATATTTAGAAAATGATGAAATCAAAATATTCTTAGAAAAACTTAAAGTAGATATAACAAATCAAATAAATTTAAATAATGATACATATTCAGATAAAGACAAATTGGAAAATGAGCAAGAATTTAACATAAATAATGAAAATAATCAAAATGCATTTGATTTATTAGATTCAGTGCATTTAGATGAATATTATTGTTGTAATAATGAGGAAATATTATATAATGATGAATCTAATTTAAATAATAGAACAAGTGGTATAAATGAAAATGTTGACAATAATAATATGAATGACATAAATGAAAATAACATTAATGATGTAAATAGCAATTTTATGAATGATGCAAATCAAAGTAAATATTCGTATGTTGGTTCAAAGTTAAAATTATCAGATTTAAATGAATCGAAGGAAAATATAAATAGAGATTCTTTTTTAGATGATTCTAAAAAATATTCGGAAATAAAAAAGGATACAGAATGCCAAACAGATTTTCCACTTGATTTTTCTAGAAGTATAAATAGAACACCAAGAAAGAAGAGTGTTGAAGTGAAATTAATAGAAAAAAAAATTAAAAAAAAAAAAGAGAAAGAAAGGGGAAATGAAAATGAAGGTGAAAATATTAGAAGATATCCTAAAAGAAATAGAATTAAAACATTACGTTATTGGATTGGTGAAAGAGAAATCACTGAAAGAAATCCTTATACAGGAGAAATTGATGTTATAGGATTTAGCGAATGCAAAAATTTAGAAGATTTATCTCCGCATATTATTGGACCAATAGAATATAAGAATATATATTTAAAGGATATAATTGACTTAAAAGAAAAGGAATATAATGATAAAAGTCCAAATTATGATGAAAATATTGAAGAAGAAAATAATATAAAAAATGATAATAAGACAGAGGAAAAAATAGTAAATGATAATAAATATAATCCAATTTTTAATAGAGGTGATAATAATAATAGTGATCAAAATAAAATTAAAAATGAAGTAGATACAGTTAACTATAATAGAAAAAAGAGAAGAAGAAGAAAATTCATTAATATTGTTAATTACATAAAAAAAAAAAAAAAAAAAAAATTAATAAAAAGTATGGATAAAATTCAGGGAGAGAAATTATTTTCTAAAAATAATGAAGAAGATAGCAATTTAGTTAAAGAAAATATAAATGTGAATAAAATGAATTATGATATAGATAATCATGTTTCGCTTAAAGAAAATAACGTTGTTATAGAAAATAATAATGTATCTGATGATTGTAATATTATAAATAATGAATATAAGAAGACATCTAAGTTTGATAACACAAAAGAATATTATAATTTAAATGAGGATTATGAATGCAATAATTCTGTAGTTAACGATTTTAATTTGTTTTTTGATGATGCAAATATTTATGATGATCCTATAGAAAAAAAAGAAAATAGTAATAAATTCACCGAAGTGATAAATAGTAATACCAGTTACGAGAATAAAAATGAAGAAATAAAAGAAGCAAATCAAATTAATGAATATGAAAACGATAAGGATATAAATGAAACTAAAAAGATGAGAGAAAATGAAAGTGATAAGGATATGAATGAAACAAATAATATGAGAGAAAATGAAATCGAAAAGGATTTGAATGAAACAAATAAAATGAGAGAAAATGAAATCGAAAAGGATATAAATGAAACAAATAAAATGAGAGAAATTGAAATCGAAAAGGATTTGAATGAAACGAATAAAATTAGAGAAAATGAAAGCGATAAGGATATGAATGAAACTGATAAAATGAGAGAAAATGAAATCGAAAAGGATATAAATGAAACAAATAAAATGAGAGAAAATGAAATAGAAAAGGATATAAATGAAACAAATAAAATGAGAGAAAATGAAATCGAAAAGGATATAAATGAAACTAATAAGATAAAAGAAAATAAAAACATAATAAATATAAATGAAATAAAAAAAAAAAATAATGTAAAAAAAAGGAATGACTATAATTATAATAAGATTAATAGTAAATATAATAGAGAAGAAAATGTAATAGAGAATAATTCAGAGAAAAAAAAAATAATTTCTGTAAAAAATAAAAAAATTACAAAAAAAATGAAATATATGAAGAGAAAAAAAAAAGAAAGAAAAATAGATAAAATGTATAATCAATTATCTATGGTGAATTTAAATTTTTTTTCGTTGAAAGGAAAAAAGGAAAAATCAAAATCATTCATTTCGAAAAATGAGGAAAAAAAAAAAACAGAAAAGGAATTAAAAAGTGAAATTAAAAAAAAAAATTTATACCAAGAAAAAAAAAAAAAAAGGAAAAATGAAATACAGAAAAAGGAACAGAAACAAAAAAAAAGGAAAAAATTTAATGAGAATAATAAATTAAAAAAAAAATATAAGGATAAGAATAATAATAATTATAAAAAAGGAAAAAATAAAATTTCTGAGGTAGATAAAAATAATAAAAGAATTAATAATTTAACTAAAAAACAGAATAATAATAATAGTAAAATTAAAGATGAATTAGACAAAGAAAATGTAAAAAAAAATAGCATAAATATATGTATAAGAAATAATAATGCAAATCCTAATGATTTATTTTATTCAACAAATATTAATGAAAATGATGAAAACAAAAATGATGAAAATAAAAATGATGAAAATAAAAATAATGAAAATAAAAATGATTCAATTCAAATTAATATTAATGAAAATGATGAAAATAAAAATGATTCACTTCAAATTAATGTTAATGAAAATGATGAAAACAAAAATGATGAAAATAAAAATGATTCAATTCAAATTAATATTAATGAAAATGATGAAAATAAAAATGATTCACTTCAAATTAATGTAAATGAAAATGATGAAAATAAAAATGATAGAAATAAAAATAATTCACTTCAATCATATACAAATAATAATAAAAATGATAAAAATAAAATTATTAAAAATTTTAACAGACATAATATCTACTTAAAAATTCTTGAAAACATGAATAAAAGTGACAATTTAGAAAGTTATAAAAATATAATTTCAAAAAAAGACGATTATACAATATATATAAAAAATGAACAAAAAAAAAAATATTCTAGAGAAAAAGGAAATAATTATGTAGAGTATGATTTATTAAATAAAATTAGTCTAAAGGAAAATATAGAAAAAAAGGATTTAAAACATGAAGATAATAAAATATTATTAAGTTCATTCCAAGATGATAAAAATATTGTTATTAGAAATGCTTTTTTAAAAACATTTAAAAATAATTATAAAAGTGCAATAATAAAAAAAAAGAAAAAAAAAAAAATTACTCCAAATATAAAAAAAAATGAAAATATTATTTTAAAGAATAATAACCCTATAGAACAGAAATATGATACACATTTAAATAAAATAAAGTTCTCATTAGTATATCCATTTAATAGTTATATGAGAGGTAACAATAAATATATAACTTAAAAAAATTGTCTTATATAAATAATTAATATATAACTATATCCATATTATATTTTTTTATCAGATAAAAATTTTTATAAATATTCATATTTATCTATAGACCTACCACGTATTCAAAAGGTTTAAAAATAAAACAATAAAAAATAAAATAAATAAAATAATAAAATTTAAAAACTATTTTTTTTTATTTTTAGAATTTTGGTTATTTTAAATTGGATATTAATCTATATTGCATTAAAATTGATCCTGATGAAAAATTTATTAATAATAGTTATGAAAGCATATTAGTAATTATAAAATAATCAATTTTCTTTATTATTTTTTTATATTTATATTACAATTATGTAATTATACTATCCTTTTATTTTTTCATTTTAGATTGGTTATATTGATAAAGGAGAAAAAATTAAAATATTATTAGAAAGTGAAAAATGTTACGAAAAAGGTGATTTCTTTTTTATACCCAAATTTTCTAATTTCATAATTATTAATGAAAGCAGGTGATTAAATTTAAAAAAAAAAAAAAAAAAAAAAAAATTTTATCAAAAATGAAAGATTATATATATTTTTTTTTTTACTTTTTTTTTTTTTTTCTAGATATTGTTGTATTTTATATATTTTTCCCCTAAATAGATAAGGGTTAGCACATTTTTTTTAAATTAATAGAAAACACTACACGTTATTTTATTTAATACTAGAGATACACATGCCTAAATACTTATATATTTATTGTGAATATTTGTTATATTTTTTTTTATATATTTCATTTTAATTAAAAAAAAAAAAAAAAAAGTTAATATTTAAAACATTTTTAAAGATTTTATTTTTTACTACCACAACTTTATAAAAAAAAAAAAAAAAGCTTAAAAAATATAAAAAATTATAAATATTTTTTTTACAAAACTAAGATATATCTAAAATAATATTACTTTTTTATAATCTCTTTTTAAGTTTTTAATTAGAGAAAACTCTATTTAAAATATATTTATAGAATACAATGTTTAAATAAGTTTTATTATAAAAAAAAAATTAAAAAAACTTTCAAATATATAAAGGATTTACATTTAAATATAACATTAGAATTTTGTAAAAATAATATATGATAAAAGATAAATATGTGTGTATTATTTTTTTTTTTTCTCATTTTAACGAAATTTTTTTCTTCATTTTTTCCGGTGTGCATATTTTTTCCCTATTCAAGAAAAAAAAAATCGTTCCGATAATTTTTTTTTTTTTTTTTTTTCTAATATATTTTCTTTTTAGTTACAATTTAACTTGATATAAATTTATTTATATATTTATATTCTATTGACAATAATTATTGTTTTATATCAGAACAAATTGAAAGATCTTTTAATGAAAAATAGAAAAGAAAAAAAATTCATATATAAGTTAAAGATTTTGTAAATTAAATTTTTTTTTTTTTTTTTTTTTTTTTTTTTTATATAACCATTTAATAATTTAAATGTTAATTTTTTATCAATTTAAAAATTATATTATTATATTTTAAATAATTTAGAAGAAAATTTTTTTTTTTTTATTTTAAATAACTTCTGAAATAATAATTTTTTAAAAATTCATAAATGAATGTCAGAAGTACTTAAAATTCTACTAGTTTTCATAATAATATACACATTCATAATTAATTTATTATTATATTTTAAATATTATTTAAAATAATCTTGTTTTCTTTTATAAATTCATAATATTTTTTTTTAATTCTTTCATATATATATACAAATATTAATTTATTTTTTATATTTCTTTTCAATTTTTTACCGTTGTTAATTAAAAAAATATAAAAAAGAAAAACCATTATAATCTATATATTCTTGTGGTATAAAATATTCAATATATTTATTTTTTTATATTTAAAAAAGTTAATGTAATAAAAGTTTTTTTTTTTTTTTTTTTTTTCTAATATAATAATGAAAA